TTTTTTTTTTTTTTTTGGAGCCTTTAGATTCAAAACTTACTAACACACTTCACACTTCGTTAACTTGACGGATAAAAATATCTAGAAGCATATGCTTGGTGCAATCAAGTACAAAAGTTCTTCATGCATAATATAAGCTGACTGCTTGGGTTAGAATTTAATTAACACAAATACTCTTACAAAAGGTCCTTTGGTGGTGGTTTCATGGGATACAGATGGTATCAAGACTGTATATTACATATATTGCCATTTTCACACTATTATTTTCACTATTTTAATGTAGTTACAAATATTGATCCTCTGCATATCAATACAGTGTGATAATTACCTGTAAATGATATGTACACTACCATTCAAATGTCTGGCATCAATAACACTTTAAACTGATCAAAAGTGACAGTTAAGACATTTAAAATATTACAAAAGATTTATATTTCAAATAAATATTTTTCTATTCTTCAAAGAATTCCGTAAAATGTAACAGTTTTCCACAAAATCATTAAGCAGCACAATATTGATAATAAGAAATGTTTTTTGAGCACCAAATTGGCATATTAGAATGACTTCTAAAAGATCATGTGGCACTGAAGACTGAAATAATGATGCTCAAAATTCCGCTTTGCCATCACAGGAATAAATTAAATTTTTTAAAAATATTAACAGAAAACAGTTATTTTAAATTGTAATAATATTTCACAATATTACTCTTTATACTGTGTGTTTGACCAAATAAATGCAGCTTTGGTGAGTATAAGAGACATATTTCAAAAACATGGAAAAATCTTACCAACTTTTGAAAGTTAGTGTAAAATATTTTAATATCTTGAAAATCACATTATTATATTTTGAAATTACATTATTATTATCTACTATTTCATAAAAGGTTTAAAAATAACGGCTATGGACACTGAAACATTTAACAACAATGGACAGATAATGAAATATGACTCTTTATTTTGATCTTTAGCGTGTGGGACAAGCTCACCTTAGCTGGTGTATGGATCCAGATGGCAGCATTAAACAAAACGTGATCACACAGCTGCTTCAGTAAAGGAGCTCCATGAGTCAACCCATCTAGATACTTGGCAAATGACAGAAACTGCTCCAAAACTGCCCTGGTGATGTGCACCCGAGAAGACTAATGACGAGAGAGAGAGAGAGAGAGAGAGAGACAGGTGTCAGACAGACAAAGTGAGAGACACAGTATAGAGTGAGACAGACCATGTGTTTCAAGCTTTTGACACTTTTTATTAATAGAAACTCTAGATGCAAGCTGGATTCAATCCTGCATCTCCTGAACAAGTGCTGTAGCTCAGTGTGTCTAGAGCATGTGTGTTGCCCACTAAGCCATGGCTCTGATTATCTTAAAGGGATAGTTCACCCAAAAATGAAAATTCTGTCATTAATAACTCACCCTCATGTCGTTTCAAACCCGTAAGACTCATCTTCATCTTCAGAACACAAATTAAGATATTTTTGACAAAATTTGAGAGCCCTCTGACCCTCCATAGACAGCAAGGGTCCTACCACGATCAAGGTCCAGAAACATAGCAA